AAGCAAAGTTATGACCTATAATTACTTCATTTAATAAACCAAATGTTGCCATAATTTAGAAATTAAATAGTGTATTGACAGAAAGCCAGGAGATGAAACCATTACAGTAAGCTGAGAAGTTTCCAGGAGCATTCACAGAACTCAGTTTGGTTTTCTTTGTGAGAAGGTATCATGGCAAAACTACAGCATTTCTGAATACTTGGCTTTATCTGTAAACATACAAGTATTGTTAAATAACCAGATCTTGAAAAATTATTATGTTAGGTGGTTTCTTTGTATTTATTTATTATTTCAATGCACAATCAATACCACTTCAATGCATTTGGTTATTAAGTATAATTCTCTGCTCTGTGAACAACATACATGCTTACAAAGCAAAAAATCTTCTACAGTGAGAGAGAATGGCTGTTGGTGATATACGAGTGCCTAGCCCTGGGTTTACCAGATGGTAAACAAAAAACCAGATATATTACATAATTGGAAGTAGAAAATGGAGAAACTCTATCCTTGTGGCCAAAACCAGACCAGAAGCTGATTGTGGCACAGACCATGAACTGCTCATAACAAAAATCAAAGTTAAGCTGAAAAAGAAAGCAAAAACCATCATTATACCAAAATATGACCTGAATAACATTTCAGATGAATTCAAAGACAATGTAAGAAACAGATTTGAACTATTGAATATAATCAATTGGGAAGCTGAAGAACTGTGGACAGAAGTCAAAGATATAATTAAGGATGAATGCAAGAAAACACTAACAAAAAGAAAGATAAGAAACAATGGGTGGCAGATGAAACACTTTATGCAATAAAAGAAAGAAGAAAAGCAAATGCAAATGCAAAAGCAAAGGAAGATAGAAACAAAGCCAGAAGTATGAAAACAACTGTCCAACATCTGACATGCAGGGATGAGAAATACCACAATGACCAATACAAAGAAATAAAAGGCAACAACAAAAAGGGAAGAATGAGAGACCTCTATCAAAAAATCTGAAAAGTTAAAGCCAAGTTCAAAACAAGGACAGGGATGCTCTGGGGGGGGGGGGGGGGGGGGAGAACATAATACAGGAAGAAGAAATAAAAAGATGCTGGAAGCAATACACAGAAGAGTTATACAAAAGAGATGAGGGAATGAATGATATTTGGAATGAGAAGTCATATGAAGACGAACCCCAAATTTTAATTGAAGTGAAGTAGAATCTAAAATAAAGGAAATGGGGAAAAATAAATCACTATCACCCTACTTGTTTAACTTATATGCTGAAAACATAGCAGAATTAGAATCAGAAAAATGAGGAATGAATATAGGAGGAAGCAACATTAACAACCTAAGATATGCGGACAACACCATAATATTAGCAGAAGACATTAAGAAACTGGAACAGTTAATAAGGAAGCTCAAAGATGAAAATAAAAAGGCATATCTGATGCTGAACATAAAGAAAACAAAAATAATGACCGTAGAAGAAATACACAAATTCACTCTAAACAACGAATACATTGAAATAGTTAAAGAATTCCCACATCTAGGATCAAACATTGACCAGAATGTAGACTGCAATCAAGAAATAAGACTTGGAATGGGAAGGGCAGCTATGAAAGAACTGGAAAAGATACTGAAGAGCAAACATACATCTGAGCACTAAAGTAAGAATCATTCAGGCCATTATATTCCCAATTACCATGTACGGATGCGAGAGCTGGACAGTGAAGGAAGCAAACAGAAAGAAAATCAACTCATTTGAAATGTGGTGCTGGAGAAGAGTATTTAGGATACCATGGACAGCCAAGAAGACAAACAGGTTCTTGAACAGATCAGACCAGGGCTCTCCTTGGAAGCAAAGATGATCAAGTTGAGACTATCATACCTTGGCCACATAATGAGAAGGCACAGATCACTAGAGAAAACAATAATGCTAGGAAAGGTAGAGGATAGAAGAAAGAGAGGAAGACCATGAAGCAGATGGATAGAATCAGAGGGGTTATGGGGAAGGTCTTGCAGGATCTGGGCAAGACTGCAGTGGAAGATAGGAATTCTTGGAGATGTCACATCCACAGGGTCTCCATTAGTCGGAAGTGACTTGAGGGCAGCTAACAACAACAAAGCCCTAGGTTACACACATGTATGTTTTGTTTAAAACAGGGTGCAAAGAAGCTATGGCAATTTACTGGCCAGGCTACAAGGGAGGGGAAACAATGTACTATACAAAAAACAACCATCTTACCTCACTGTTAGAGGAAAAGAAACAAGGTCATTCTCCCACTTCCTATGTTGTTGTTAGCTGCCCTTAAGTTGACCTCGACTCATGGTGACCCTGTGTATCAGACATCTCCAAGCCCCCCTATCCTCCATTGCTCTGTTTAGGTCTTGTAGATTCAGGCCAGTGACCTCCCAGATTGAGCCTATCCATCTTTGGTTTATCACTGTAAATAAATGAATGAATGAATCTACCCCTCTGACATATAGTCTTCCTCTCTTTCTCCTGCCCTCTGTCCTTCCAAGCATTGTTGTCTTTTTAAATGAGTCATGTCTTCTCATGATGTCACCAAAGTACACCAGCCTCAGTTTAATCTTTTTGGCTTCCAAGGAAGGTTCAGGCTTGATCTGTTCAAGGACCCATTTGTTTGTCATTTTGGCTGTCCATGGTAGTCTCAGCACTTTATGCTTTCTGAAGCAATCTGGAATGGATTTAGGAGAACTTGCAAGCTATGAACCTTCTCCATCAAAGGGAGCGCAAACTCCTCAAGAATAGGTTGCTCACCCAATTCCCAGAGTCAAGAAGCAAGCCACTTTGACTAAAGGCCCCCCCTAATGCTCCCTTTCCCCCTCACCACTGCCCTGAATCTTTCCACCACCCCCAGGGGGCATACTGCCCACTTTGGGAATCACTGGATTAATATGTTCTCTCTAGGAATCTTTAGATTGTCCAGCACAACTCTATAGTCAGCATCTACCAGAAGTCATGCTGGAAGACCTAGAGATCCCTAGAGAGAACACTTCTTAAGACATTTGTAGGTCCTCCAGTAGAATTTAATGGTCAATGTATAGCAGATGTTGACCACAAAGTTGCACTGGAAGACCTAAAGATTCCAAGAAAGGTGTTCTCTCAAGTTAAAAAAATAGTGGATTTTTTATTTGTAATTTTTCTATATTCATGGGGGCCCAGTGTTCCTAACTCCAGCAATTGTGGAAAGCCTACTATACATATTAGGAAAAACTGTGTATAGAAATAGTTATACCAGAAAAAGATGTGTACAAAATGCTTATTTTAGGGAATGTTGGGTACAAACATAAATGCAAAGTTTTACATAGTTTTGTTTCAAAAGTACATTTGCTGGATAATGTGGATATCGGAGACAATAGGCTTCTAACTGAGCACATGTGAGAAAAACAAACTAAAGAGAGCCTGATTTGTACCACCAGATTCCTGTGGTTGTACTTTGTTTGTATGACTGATTCTTTATGTGAATGATGTGTTCACTCATGTCTGTAATATGTATACTTCTATACATATCTCAGCACCATACATAATTCCATACATATCCCAGCACCTATTGTGCTGATTTCCTCCAAAGAGAGTTGAAAGAGAAATAAAAGTTGTAAAGACCTGTATACAGTTATTCATTGGTTTGTTCAAGTTGACAGATATGCATTGAAGCTCTCACAGTATACTGAAAAATAAATAGATTTCCATGCCATTTCATGACAATACATGGCATATTCACAAGTTTTCTTCTTATCCTCCAACCCAGTCATTGTTGACTAAATGCTGTGGATTTTCCTTTACTATAAACTCATAGGAATGGGCTATCACTTTCGGCAAAATGCTACTTTTAAAAACAATGCTGAAAATGTATCCGGAAATTGCTGTACTGCAGGAACCTAGGAGAACACTCTACCATCTTATAAATTAAGCATCTCTGCACAAATAGATCTGTGATTTCCCTACCACTTAATACACTTTAAACAAAAAGTGTGAGCTATCAGCTATGGTTAAAATTACAGAGCAAAGGGGGTTCTGCATTACAGCTGTGTGCTGTATGGTTTGGACTGATTGCTATGGATCTATTCTTATAGCCTATATTGATCAGTGCTGTTGGGTTAAACATGAGCATATCAAAACTGTAGCAAGAGAAAAGTGGAGGACGTGGGTGGCAGACTAATATGCAGGGAGCTGATGTCTCCCTGGATGCACTCAGAGTCCTGATGCTTGCTCTGCAATCCTTAAGTTGTTGTTGCATCTGGGCATGAATGGTTTCCACATTCAGTGCAGGATAAGAAATCTTCTGTATGCCTCCTTGGTCCCAATGACTGCATTCCTTTTTTTATCCCTTGATTTTCTTTCTCTTCTCTTCCCTTTCAGTCCTAGAATCTGATTGATCTGTGTAAAGCTTAGAAAACATAACTTTCTTTTCTTTTCTTTTCTTTTCTTTTCTTTTCTTTTCTTTTCTTTTCTTTTCTTTTCTTTTACAACAATCCTCAGAATCCTTCTGCCATTATGGCTTGTCCTACTCTCCCTATCTCCTTCCTTGCTTGATTTGCCCAAGGATTCCAGAAGCTCTTATCAAGGTAAGGGATAAGCAGAGGACCAATAATGTATTTTAAGTATACCACTGTTTGGATGGCTTACATATGAAATAAAATCAAAGTATTTTTCTAAACCTAAAAATCTGCAAAATTATACAAGCAAAATAAATTGGTGTGCAGGAAGAAAATAATAGAGTAACAGAATTTTAGAGCTGGAAGGGACCTTGGAGGTTATCTAAGTCAGTGTCAGATACAAGAATGACATCCCTGACAGATGGTTATTCAGCCTCTGATAAAATGCGGTTATCGTTTATTGTTGCCATGTGCTTTCAAGTCATATCTGACTTATAGTAACTCTAAGGTGACCCCATCATTAAATTCTCTTGGCATGATTTGTTCAGAGGGGATTTATCTTTGCCTTTTCTGAGGTTGAGAGAGTGTGACTGGCCCAAACTCACCCAGTAGGTTTCCATAGCTGACCAGGGATTCGAAGCCTAGTCTCCAGAGTCCTAGTCCAGTGCTAAACCACTACACCACACTGGCACTCAAATAAAAGAGAGTTCTCCTAGCAGGTCTTTCTTCTTACCACTAGGTTACTGAAAATATAGGCTGCCTAAATACCCTAAAAAGGCACCAGATCCTGTCTGATCTTGGAAGCAGGGTCAGCCCTGGTTAGTACTTGGATGGGAGCCCTCCAATGAACACCAGGTGAAGTAGGTTACCTTTCAGAGGAAGGAACTGGCAAAACCACCTCTGAGTATTTTTTGTCTTAAAAAACCTTATGAAATGCATGGGGTCACCTTAAGTTGACAGGCAAGTTGAAGGCACATATACACACACAATTAAAAATGTATCTTTAAAAGTTTAGGGAAATTAAAAAAATGCTTATCTAGCACTCAAAGGCTATTAAGGCAGATACAAGAGCACTCTCTTTGGAATAATGGTCCACAGTTTGGGCACTACCACTAAGGAGTTCATCAGATGAGGAAAATTGAAAGTTTAAATGGGTCAGAACCTGTGGTTATCCAGAGTATTAGGCACAATTGTGCAAATGGTTTTCACACAACGCTACGCACAAACCACTTATAATCTGAACAGAAAGTAACATGAATCAAGAAATAGTCATTTTCGGGAAAATACCATGTTTTTATTTCCATTTCATTCACGAATTCGCTTTCTTTGCACAATTGCTGTAGTGTGAAAGCCATTTGTGGGATTCTCCCCATTTTTGGGCTTGTTGCCAGATTTTCCCATGGTTCCTTAAGGATAATAGCCACGGCTCTTAAAGGAACATCTTCTCAGGCAAAGGCAGAGGCACACAGACACAAAAGAGAAAATGTTTGCTTCTTTGTCCCTCGCCTCTGTGTGTGTGTGTGAACGTCTCTCCTCCTCTAGCCAGGGCTCTTAAAAGAGCAGCTGATGCAAGGGCAGAGAGAGAGAGAGAGAGAGAATTCCCGGTCTGAGCCAGCAGCGACCCCCAAACTAGATATACCTTTTAGTATATTGCATTGTAAGAAGAACATGAACCTGGGGAATTACTAAAGTCCAAGTCTCCAATGGGATCTTTTATCCTAAGTTTACAGAGGTGGCTAGGGAAGAGACTGATAGAGACAAAGCTTTCCAATAAACTTTCAATTTATTAGGGGATTCAAACATACAAAGACGCTCTAGCATCCACTCATACACACAAGAACTCAGGAATAAAGTAGTTAGCTTGAATAGGGAACAGAAGGCTTTCTAATGGTGGTAATTAGTACCTGAAGGAGGCTGCTCCAATGATGAATGAAGATGGATAGGCTCAACCATTATGAAAGGGAAAGGACAACGGGAAGAGCCAGGACCCAAGTAAGAATTCACAATGGTGCAGTGTCACCATGAAATCTAACCAGACCCAATATGCCTGAAATTTTAAGGATCTTTTGTACCTAGCCTAGTATATACCTATACTTAAACCTAGCCTGAGGTGAAGAATTGCTATTGTATATCAAAGGATTCTGGTTTACTACTCTTTGAAGTAGACAATTTCCAAGGAGAGAAGATGAGATGTTAATTTTTTCTCATCTTCAGCCGGACACATCCTGCTGGTACTCATAAATCTCCTAGGTGTGAATGTCCTGCTTTGCAGCTCCTAAGCCTGCCCCTTTTGATCTGTAAATTGTTGTAGGTGCAGATGTGACCTTTCAGGTGCCTACATGAGGTGCTCGCTTTGGATACATGGTGGTTGGGCTTTTCCAGTCTAGGGCCATGGCAGGAGACCCACAAAGGGTTGTTTTTTTTAATATTAAAACAATTATTGTAACAGCATGAAAAACAGATTACCTTAGAAAACTGTCCTTGATGAGACGTCTCTGAACAAACTCACCATTTGTGACAATATGAGGAAGACCATATGTCTCGTAGTCTTGTGGGTGTGAATGTGTGTGCCTTCAAACTTCCTGTCATATCTTAATTTTGTAAGCTACTTTGACACCCAGACCTGGGAAAAGGAATGTAAATGAAGGCATAAGTGCATACAAACAGATATGTCATGTTTTTGCTGTTGTTGTTGTTGTTGCTGCTGCTGCTGTTGCTACTGTGTGCCTTCAAGGCAGAAATGATGGCTCTAAGGATGTTTGAAAGACTGAGGCTGAGAGAGTATGACTTGCCCAAGATCACCCAGTTGGTTTCTGTGGTCATACAATAGGGGGGGGAAACAGCAACACACAATGCCAGCATTTCCCTCCTGTTTCCTCCCTCCAACAGCCAGACCTGTCACTCTCTACTCACAGAGGGAACTTTCTGAAGAGGAGAGCTTCTTCTATCTAGGAAAGCTCTCCACACAATTCAAGATACTCCATTTCCAAAAACATCCCAATAATAGTTTTACTGTGTCACCTTCTACAGGCATAGGCCAGACCTTAAACAGTGTGGTTCAGCACAGAATCATGCAGTTAGTAATCAATGCTAAGCAGGAGTCCCTAGTGGACCTGCCAAGCCAGCTATATCTCAGTGTTTTGATCCTGACCATTACTTCCTGACTCTTGATTTTTCAAAGGCAATTATCAGCAGCTCAGCAAACTCATTAAGGCTTCTGGGTCACAAATAGCCCAACCTGCTGATGCATTGATGTTCTTTTCGCTAAGCTTCATCCTTCACTTTCTGTCAGTGGTTTACATTAGTAAGTTTCCTAGCTATCAACTAATTCCCCCATTTTTCTTACTGGGTGCCATCACTTAGATGGAGCTGAGTAATTCAGTCATTTCAGAGCCAGTGTTCAGATCATCTCTCAGCCCATATTAATGAGCTATCTTTTGCTCTGGGGCAGTGGCAGTTGGTGGTTTCCTTGCCCATGGGGTAATGAAACCATTCTGAGTTTTAGTCCAGATTTTAATTGTGCTATTTAAGGTGCTGAACTCTGTGCCAAAAATAGACTCCACACTGTTAAATTTCAAATTAAAGTTAAGAAGGACTCACCATCAACTAACATGAGAATCACCAGCCATCACAGCTCTGGATGTTGACATCTTCTTGTTCCCTTTTAAGCATGCTGGTTGCTTCCTCCCATTTCATTTTTCACTCATGCAGATGTGAACAAAATATCCTAGAACCAATTAATCCTAACTGGAGTTGACCCATTGAATCAATTGATGTATGGCCAGTCCACACTTGTGCAAATCCCATTTATTCAGTAGATCTGCTCTAGCTGGGACTAGTCCTAGCCCTCCCTCCATTCCATCTGATGTCATCTGGGGGAGAGACAACAGGCCCAGCACCATCGGGCCTAGAAAAAGAAGAAGAAGAGCCCCCCCTCCACTCCGTCCAATGTCATCTGGAGGAGAGACAACAGGCCCAGCACCATCGGGCCTAGAAAAAGAAGAAGAAGAGCCCTCCCTCCACTCCATCCAATGTCATCTGGGGGAGAGACAACAGGCTCAGCACCATCGGGCCTAGAAGAAGAAGAAGAACCCTTACTTCTTAAAGGACGGGTGGGATTCGGGATTTTTATGTTTTATGTTTTATCTGTATGGAAATGTTAATGTTGTAAGCCACCCCGATTGCTCTGCAGAGGGGCGGGATATAAATTATTATTATTATTATTATTATTATTATTATTATTATTATTCACTGGATTTACTCCTCTATATTCCATCTGATGTGGGGGTAAAGGAAGATCTCTTTTATAAACTGCATGATTATGCAGTATAAATTAGAACTTTAAATGGTTCAAGATTTGACCTTAATTGTGTTGCATTAGCAATGGGAATGAGTCATGCCCAATGAAAAAGGAGAATTGTTGCTGCTGCTATTGTTGTTAACTGCCCTTGAGTTGGCCTTGACTCATGGCAACCTAATGGATGGGACACCCCCAAGCTCTCCTGTGCTTAACTGCTCTGCTCAGGTTTTGCAGGCTCAGGGCTGTGGCCTTCTTGATTGAGTCTGTCCACTTGGCATGCAGTCTTCCGCTATTTCTACTGCCTTCCAACTGTCCTAACATTATTGACTTTTCTAGTGAGTCATCGCTTCTCATGATGTGTCCAAAGTATGACAGCCTCAGTTTACTCATCTTGGCATCCAGTTCTGGCTTGATCCACTCTAGGACCCATTTGTTTATTTTTTTGGCTGTCCATGATATCCTCTGCACTCTTCCCTAGCATCACATCTCAAATGAGCTGATTTTCTTTTTATCTGCTTTCTTCTCTGTTCAGATCTCGCATCCATACATAGTGATGAGGAATACAATGGCTTGGACAATCCTAGCTTTGGTATTCAATCCTTGGACAAACATAACTTTGCACTTTAAGATCTTGTCTAGTTCTTTCATAGGTGCCCTTCCCAATCCTAGTCTTTTTCTGATTTCTTGACTGCATACTAAGGGTTAATTCTTTTGGGGAAAAAAGAATTCCTCTTGGAGTTCATAGCCAATAGGTAAAATTGCAAAGGTCAGTTAAGGCTGTAGTGCTAATTAGCTGCCTTGGTTGCATATAGAGCACCTAAGGTGCAAACAAGGGTCACAACTCTGCAGAATGTTGCAACCTCAGTGAAATTAAAGAAGTTTCCTCTTAACCTGGATCTCTTGTATATGAAAAGGTCAGTTCTGGTCAGCATTCTTTGTGTATTATCTTTTATAATCAAGTAAAGTTTGCTTTTTCAAGCCTTCACTTCCTGAACTCCATTATTCAGTATTCATGCTAACAAATTGGCTCCCACAGATAGACATTTTATACTCATACTGTTCGTCCTTTATTGAACTAACGATTTTCATCAGTGCAAAGATCAGCATATCCCTTCCACGTTTCCTTTTGATTTTAACAGCCCAGCATCTCAAAGTCCAGTTATTTTTCTTCTTTCTGGTTGGCAGCTAGAATATCAAAACCTGCTCTACAGAAGCAATAAATTAACAGTCATCAAATCAGTTCTGTTTATCCTCTCTTAAAAATGCCATGGAGAAATTGGAAACTGGAAATGTTGCAAAGATAATGTAAACAGAAATGGTCAGGGTAGTATGTGATATTTTCTGCCTAAGAACTGGAGAAGAACCAATCTGGACTAGAACAAAGGTCTAT